ATGGCACGCAAAGACATGAGCTTGTTACAATAAAATTGAAACGCAGCTTGAATAGTTATTACGGGCCAGGTTCCGAGCTGTAAAAAGGACAATTTGTAATATATATATATATATATATATATATATATATACATATATATATGTATATAATATGGCGTTTCCTTGCCATACGGTTGGGACCTTCGATGCACTCATCTGCAACGTGTTCATAAGAAATGACAACGTTTCAGATTGCTATTGGTGTAAGTCCTGCGATCAGCGGTGAAGTGTTCCAGAGTATTGGAAAATTATCGAGGAGCAACGAATGCATACATTTTGGTCGCACGTGGTGCACAATAATTGCTACATGACCCCAACAGAACTTCAAAAATGGCTCCACAATGTAGCTGGTCTTGATGAATAGGCATATGTAGACTTATGGTGCATCACCATTGACCAAGTGGAGACAACCGATACAGCTTTACGGCCAAAATGCATGCGCTCAGAAATGGGTTTCTGGATTAATTTGGTCTTTATTGTGGCGCATTCTGAATGCGGTACATCCATCCGTTTTTGATCAACCCTTTTTTATGCCAGCTGCCCGTCTACCCTTGACCATCTCAGCGCGTGTTTTGTTTCTAAAGCAAATATGTAGGAGGCAATAAAGAGTAACCGGCAAAGGTATGCACAGGCAAGTCTCCCGCGGTGGTAGTGGATTGTCGTGAATAAGCATGTTTCTTTTGCGAGGTTGACACAAAAATCAGTCGTTGAGATCTACAAAATAACATTTTTGGCTTAAAAAATAAAACTAACCTCTGAAAATATCGTTGCAATAATTTCGCGACAAACTCACAAAAGGTTGCGTCAAACAACTTTAAAACATAATTTTGGGGACCTGGCTGCTTTATAAGTGTTATCAGCACATTTCATAAGTTCTGTGCAGATGCACACGATAGCAGCTATGAAGTTTTTCGTCACTGCTTAGATTTTTGCTTCGCAACTAAGTTCCATTGCCTGTCGTCATATCTGTCGACTGTGAGTGTTCACCGGCGACAGCAGCACTATATGATGCTGGACCGCACGCATATCTTTTTCGTACCCGCATTTCCGAACAACCGCTGTCAGCGTTGCTGGAAACAGTGCTGACTGGAATGGCCTAGCTATTGATGTTGTAGTAAAAATGTTTGATCCTACGAAATATCAGGAACAAGAAACAGATTCATAATACCATTTTGCGTATACATAAGTGTTTTCTGTAGTTCTACAACTAGCTTTCGAGAACAACGAGATACAGTGCGTTGGAGCAGCATAGCTCAGCCCACTAAAACCTACATTGTCTCGCCTATATTAGATGAAAGCAATGGAAATGCAGCGAAACTTCACCAAATATGTATTTTGTGTTTGCTTTTTTCTATCGTTTATATGCATTTTTGTAAGTGGGCGTCACAGGGGCCGTCCAGTGGTCCGATGGGCTTAAGATCGCATTTCGTTGAGAGCCTCGACTTCTCAGGCTCCGAGCAAATAGTAGCCGAGCTAACGAGCTTACGTCCCGCCCCCTTCTCTACCTACCACTTCCACCTTACTCTGCCGTAAAGACATGGCTCCCTACAAAATAGTACGCCATGCTAATAAAAAAATCCCGAGAAATGCAGGCCCCCTTGAAAGCTCTTGGAGGACGCAATATCTTCAAACCCATTCCTAAGTTCTGATTCCCTTTTGCCGCACAGTCCTCAGATACGAAAGGAAAACATGAAGGCCTGGGAACCTAAATGTGCTCTTGTAAGTATATCCAATGTACCCATATAAGGAGAGAATGAGCATGCAATGTGACAATTGATGTGCTCACGTAAGGAGAGAATGGGCTTTTAGACCTATTATCTTCATTTAGTAGTTCAGCCTTCAAAACGTTAACGGTACGGCAGGCTGGTCAATCCTGTGCTCACTACTTTCCATAACAGAGTTGGCGATATTCGAGGTCTGATGGGAATCTATGACCACTAAAAATTAGAAGTCATTGCACGCGTGCCTGGATATTCGTTCTGAAAGCAACGGGATTATGTTAATTATACAGACGCCGTATCTTTCTTGTGTATTCCATGTCTTAACTTGCATAAAGACCGACGTAAAAGAGGAATCCCGGATGATCCCACGAGAATGCCGTCTTGACGGGATCCGAACTGGAGCAGACAGGTCTCGCGCCACATCAGCTGGCACCTCCCATCATTTCTTGAAACCCCGTCGGATGTACTTTTTTCATGACCTACCCATCAAACGAAATGGTGCACTGTACTGGACGTTATTGACTTCTTAGGACACTGGTCCAGTGGTCCGGGCACAATAATGCCGACTTAACACTCGAAGACATCAAATCGTGGACGGTAACATGAACAACGTTATCAGCTTCAGCATGCCATGCAGGTGTATTCAGGTCGACAGAACACACCTTAGCAAACACGAGACGACGACAGTTAAAATGTATTTCGTCTAAATCAGACATAACACGTTCCGTCCAAATGGCTTCTCTCAAACCCAATGAAACAACATTCACAAGCTGTACAAGTGATTTATGCAGCCAAAGAGGATACTGCAACAAGTAAAGCTTACACTTTCCTGTCCTCAGACAAACACGTCATCGCCATGAAACCATCAAATACACCATCAAAAACCATCATCACACCTGATTGCATCAAGTCATCCCCACTTCCGTAGCCACAAACAAAACAGAGCCTGCGCAACGTTAAATCGATCTTCTTCCCAGGCCTGCGCACAGCAGCAGCCCGAGCCGAGCCGCCACCCGGGACAGGCATGTAGTGAGCGGCTGGGTGCCCACAAGACAAGCATTGTAGTTTCCTGTGGGCACCACCTCTATTCTTCAATGCATGTAAGCACCAGGTATCTTGCACACTTTCCCAAACATATTTAGGCTTGAATGAGTGCCATCACCTCCAACTCTGTATTTGGAACGACTAGAATGGCCTAGGACAGCAAAGCCCCACTAAGCCTAAACCCATAGCCAGAGGAATACACTGTAAGGCCCAGAAATTTCCACCACGAGGCATCTGATGTATGTGCAATGACCACAGAACTGAAATGAGAGACAACAATCTGCATAAGAACATTTTCATGGTGCGTTGTCGGTTTAACAACCCAACTCGCCGTTCCATGACATCACCTTGACATGGCATGTTCTGCGACCCAGCGCTCGATTTTGCTCGACGCAATCCTGCAAACTAAGCGGCGCTGCGGCGCAACGATGGCCAGATCCCGCTGGTGCGGGTGGTTATCCCTTCCGGCCTTCGGAGGTCGACCAGCGAGCACACGCTGGGGTCCACGAAGTGGACAGGCCTTCCGCCTCTCAGAAATTAGCAGAGCTGGCAACAATAAAGCTGCCAGTCGGTAGCCTTTATGTGAATTAACTTATGTCAAATGTTCAGACCACTGGGTCATGATCTTTATGTCAGATAAGTTTAAGCAAGGTCAGACTCCAGAAAAGCGTTTGTGGTGTCCTCAGAGCTCCTCATGCAGCCGCTTTTGACCAAAGAGCCTCTCCTACATGAAAGGGCACTGGTCTTTATGGCAGTTCGGTGGCCTATTTGACTTGAAATGACTGGGGTGACCCAAAGAACTTTCAAGATTGGTTTTATCTTTCCAATTCAAATACGCGTCAAGATCTACCAGGATTATGCGCTAAGCTGCATTATACTAAAAACAACAGATTTATTGGAGTCTTTTTACGTCAGTGATCCCCGCTGACCTTCAAGAAATGTAAACATCACGATATTATCATGGTTTGCTGACGTCACTGGGACCATGAGATTCTACACGTCAAATCTACCACCTAAAACAAGTTCCCTGTAAAAAAGAGATTTGGTTTTGACCTGGGTTTGACCTTAAGCCCTAACCTGAAAAACCATTAGCATAATCGCACTTCTAACATCAAGTGCCAGCTTGTCTGTGAAATCAACTCATAGTTGTCAGGTTTAGCTTACCATTCCATTCTCGCATCAGATTAAATGATTCGTAAGGAATTGCTTTTGCTGACAGCCATGGCCTGACTGACCTGCATAGGTCAACGGCCAAATAATTGGCCATTCAATTCCCGACAGTGTACAAAGTTTAGCACAGTTGCCTCGCACCATTCGGAAGATATTTTGGGAAAACTTCCGGAGAGCGTCAAATTGACCTCCCCACCCGAGAGTGTGTTAAAAAGTGGTTTATGTTGTCCTCCTATCCATTGTGACTTGATGCACAAATTCTGAACGTCAGCGCATAGCTGTATTTTAAGCATAGCAAGGAGAAACTCAGAGACATTGCAACAAAATTATTAACCACCTTTGTACTGCTTCCTTGAGATGACCGGTTTCATGTGTCTTGCATCGTTTTGTCTACGTGGTAGCTGTGCAAGGTTCACTCGCTAGGCACCGCAAAAGGCCCTTTTATTGGTATGAGACCCGTAGTGACCGTAATGGGTGGATGATGACGCGATTTTTTTGTAAGTGACCTATCTGCTCTCCGTAGGAAACGTGCGTGCTCACACACGCACGCATATTATACATGCATATATGTGTATTTATAGCTATACACATACACACACACACACACACACATATATATATATATATATATATATATATATATATATATATATCTTCCTTTTTTCAAGACTTCGAACTCGAACACCTTCGCATGCCCGTTTAACTTATGTTTCAAAGTAGACTTCCCTTCCAATGCAATAAAAAGGGCAAATTGAAAAATATCCTCTTTTAACACTTGTAATTGCCTCCGCTCCGTATCACCAGCCCGCCCTGGGTCGGGTATCTCAGCTGGCCGTGCGGCGGTGCATCATCTGTACGTCGTGTAGCGAGCGGCGGTGCTTCGGTGCGGAGCTGCCCGCGTCTGACTGGAGACACCTTGAGGAGTGGTGGTGGGGAGGGGGAGGGGGCATCGATGCGTGCGGTAGCCCTGATCACGCAGCCGATCCGGTCGGCCGTATATAAACGGCCGCCGTTCACAGAGCGCCACCAGTGAGCATCCATCTCGCAGACAAACATGAAGCTGGTAAGCGGTGACTGCCTGCTGTGAAACGCCTGCTGTGACGTGCTGTGCTTTGAGCCCCTCGCAGACGCAGTCGTGTCGACGTTAGCGTTTCACGAGGACAATGCTTATTGGTTAGCTTGGGGATTTGGCTATTTGATCATAAATCATAATTGTAACGCACTCTTTAAAGCGCCTTCAAATTAATCGTCTTAGACAGCCCAATATTGAGCGTTGTGCTACGAATTATTGCATGTGGGATGACCTGTACTGCTGTGCTCCTCGTCAAATGTACCTGACAACTAAGATTTGGCGAAAGCCAGTGACTATCGGCAAATCATAAGGGAGCATATGACAAGAATTCCACCCGAATCCACGCCTTTCGCAATCAGGTTCTAAACAAGACGCCCCCTGAATGTCGCCTGCGGCGCGATACAACGCAGCGAGTCCATGGCAACGTCCCAAATAATGCTGTTAACGCATATTCAGGCAAGCAAAAGACAATTTTCGGAAAATGAATGGGGCTTTTCTCAGGCAGTATGAAATTGGATCGCGTTGCTGCGTGCCCGGCAGTTGTAAGCACGGCAGGCAAATTTTTTTCTAGAGGGAAAACAGCTGCTAAAGTGTTATCGTTACAGAGGAATTGGCGTGAAATTATTTTTTCTCTGCCATTTCAGCTATCAACGAAAGTATGTTTCTTCAATATAAGCGCAATCGTTGTCCCCGGCACGTGAGGACGGCTGATAAATGCGAATCCACGGTGATGGCTATGCAAAACTTTCAACTCACCCAGTCACATTTCTGTTTCCTATTTAATTAAAGAAATGTGTGGATCACGTTAGTTAAGCCTGCACTTCCATGGGCCCCTCTTCTGCTGCATGTTCGTGTTCCCAAACAAGCCGTTAAAGCATTCCACAAGAAAATAGTAAAATTATTGTTGGAGCTTTTGCTTATCTAAACGTAATGTTGTACCTCACTTTCACTTCTTTGCATTCCGCGTTTGCACGCATTAAGTGAGAAAAACCTGCATCATTTTACCAGATTGCACGTGCTGGACACCAGGCATATTTTGAATTAACAGCTGGCACGTTGCATGACTGGTACACATGTCAAACAAAGCGTTGCCAACATTCCTTTTGTGCATATCTGGATATTCGCATCGTGGTAAAAGTGGCGTTCGTGTCTGGGTGTCGATGTCGTACCACAGATCGTGCTGATGGAGATGGTGGTGATGGTGATGGTGATGGTGATGGAGATGGTGGTGATGGTGATGGTGATGGTGATGGTGATGGTGATGGTGATGGTGTGGCGGTAGCTGTGGTGGTGATCTGAGTCTGGGTGGCGATGCCGTCCCGCAGATCGTGCTGATGGCGACGGTGGTGATCGTAACGCGAGTGGCCGTGTCCGTTAAGTGTCCGTGCCGCACCACAGAACGTACTGGTGGCGATGGTGGTTGTCGTGTCTGAGTGTCGACATCGTGCTACAGATCGTGCTGGTGGCGATGGTGGCGGTGGCCGCCGCTCAGGAGGACCTGGCGCCCGTGCCGTACGTGGCTGGCAGCGACAGGGATGCCGAGATTATCAAGAACGAATTCAGCATGGATGAGGCGGGTGGCTTCATAGCCGACATGGAAACGTCCAACTCGATTCAGCAGTCGGCCACCGGCACCAGCTACCCGGGCAGCGAGCCCGAGACCGGCAGCTACGCCATGAGCGGTAAGCGAGGCTGAAAAGGGGTAAAGGGGCGCACCACATGCCTGGATGGGTAAACCAGAAAGTTTTATCCATTCTCAGGATTGTGCTTCTTGCAACCAGCAGTGTTGCACGCTCTGCAGGATAAGTAACGCCATCATACCTAATGGCCGCCCGTTGTTGTTGCAGGCTCTTACACGTACGTCGCGCCCGGGGGCCAGACCATCGCCGTGACGTGGACGGCCGACGAGAATGGCTACGTGGCCGAGTCGGACTCCATCCCCAAGCTGCCGGCCGAGCAGCAGGCGGCCATTGATGCCTCTATCGCCGCTGCACCGGCCGAAGACCTCGTCTTGTAGATTTGGGCTGCAAGCCTCGCCTGTCCTCACCGCTCACGTACGTCCGTCTTGATCAGCCATTTCTCGTCTGAGAGAGATCGCCCGGGCATGCCGTGTCCGCGCACTCTCTGTATATGTGCCATCCGTGAACACAAGCAACAGTGAGTGCATATGTCGGGTGTTCGCCAATATACCGTCCTCTTATCTGCGAAACTCGCCTGCGGCCTTGTTCGGAAGTCGTCTTCGCCGTGCAATGGTGACCGGGGGTTGGCTCAGTGGCGATATCAGAGCGCTGTGAAGTGCTCGGTGCGGAGGGAGAGCCGGGGCCAAGCATCACATTGCGTGATGATCATTACCAAGGATATCAGTCAAACACAATGCTCATCCTTCCTTCCATTCACATGCGCGGAAACATTTGTGCCTATGGCGCGCAAAGACATGAGCTTGTTACAATCCGATTGAAACACCTTGAATTAACATTACGGGCCAGTTTCCACACTGTCAAAAAGACACTTCATAATCATTATATGGCGGTGCCTTGCTATACCGTATGGACCTCACGATGCACTCATCTCCATCATTTTCATAAGAAATGACAATGCGCCGTGTATTTGTATTGGTCTAAGTCCTGTGGTCGGCGGTGGGCTTTTCCACATTGTTGAAAAGAGGAGCAACGAATGGGCTCATTTTGGTCTCACATGGTGCACCATAATTACTACATGACCTTAACAGAACTTCAAGAATGGTTTATCAATGCATCTGGTCTAAATGCATAGGCAGATGCAGACTGATGATACATCATCATCGGCCAAGTGGAGACGAAACATACAGCTTAAAAACCGAAATGCCAGCGCCCAGAAACCGGGCCTCTTGATGGATTTGATCTTAATTATGAATTTGATGCAAACATTTTTAACATGCCTGTCTGGCATTTTGCCAAATCGCACCCAAATTTGCTGTACTCTATAGGACATCCATTACGCAGTGTTTCGACACAGACAACGTGTTCCTAGCTTTTCTGCTTTCGAAGCACCGGTAGTTTTTTAGGGCTCTGAATGTCGTTCTACGGCCTGAGCGCGCAGGCGGACGGCAATCGACCATCAATACGCATCATAACATCGACAGTGAAACAGGGCGGAGGTTAAAACGGTGATACGATTCCAGCTCGCGGCGGGAACTGCCAGATTACGACGCGGGAGCGGCGCCCTTGACCTGGCATGTTCACTTGACCTTGCTTTTGCTTGAATTGATTTGACTAACTAAAGATTGGGTACATGGCGATAGTGTGCAGTCCTAAAGTTCTCGCTCAGTGCCAAGTCAAGTAAAACTGAGCTGTCGGTTTGTTCTCCGACGACTGCTAAAAAAATCCAAGAAAAGTATCGTGTTATATCACACATATCCACTGACATGCATATATGTATGTACGTATGTATATATGTGTAGTTATTGCAAATGTGCGTCAAGACCTACGCTGGGCTGCATAATCCTAAAAAAACAGCAGATTTATTAAAGTAATTTTACGTCAGTGCTCTCCGCTGACCTTCACGCAATGTAAACACCCGATGTCACTATGGTTTGCTGACGTCCCTGGGACCATGACACTGGTTATATGCGTCAAATCTTGCACGTAAAACAAGTGCTCCTGTAAAATAACGATTTGGTTTTTGACATGGGTCTGACCTTAAACCATGGAATGAAAAACCATTAGCACACGCTCGAGTGGGGGTCAAATTGACCCCCCCGAAGGTGTTTCAGAATGGTTTCCGAACGGCGCGGCGTAGCCGCAACAAATTTTGCACAGCTATAGACAGTTGAATATCGGATTGTTTGACACAACAAATTTAGATGCACCTGGTAAGGTCGGTGACCTATGGCAGGTCAAAATCAGGCCATGGTTTCAGGAAAGACAGTTTTTGGTGACTCGTTCAATCTGGTACAACAACGGAGTGTTTGACAAAGCCATACATCTCTGAGATGCTTTCTTAGGCACCACAATATTGAATGAGCAAATAACGCTGACCTAAGGTCAGATATGAAGGTCAGGCCAAGGTCAAAACCTACCTGATTTATTACTCTAGGGCTTGCTGTATGGGATAGTTTGTGGTGTTCATTTGGAATTTATTGACAGCACGAACCGCATTGCACATTTTGCATTAACTCCTTAGAGGTCAGAGCACGTCACTGACTTAAGGTGACCCGGGTCGACATTTTCTTTAGGAACATACTGCCTAGCGTAATCTTTGTCGCTTATTCAAATGCAAAGCTCAGAGCAGTCTTGTATGATTTTGGTCACCATGACCTTCAAGAGGTCAAGAAAGGTCAGTGACCTCCAATGGGTTTTTGGCCTTTTGCTTAGAAACAGTTGCCTATGTTCTGGGGGCACTTAAGTGACCTCACCTGGAATTTGACATTGTTTGACCTTATTTGACCTGAATGACCTGACATAGGAAGCCCAAACATTGACCCAAGCGAATTCATATACAGGTCAAGACACTCGGTAAATTCGGTGTCCCTAGCTTTCCTAGTTCTCAAGATCTCAGGGGATCAAATTGACCCCCTCCCCCCCACCCGAGCGAAGGGTATCTGGCCGGCCACCCAGGCGCGTGATAAAATGGTTGCACTTCGAAATTCAAATGTCAACCTGTCTACGAAATCAACTCAGAGTTGCCAGGCTAAGCCTATCACTCCGTTCTCACATCAGATCAAACGATTCCTAAGGAATCGCTTTTTCTGACAGCCATGATCTGACTTTGACCTGCCATAGATCAACGGCCCAATAAATCGACCATCCAATTGCTGACAGTATGCAAGGTTTAGCACAGCTACTTCGCGCCATTCGGCAGATATTTTGGGAAGCCTACCAAAGGCGTCAAATTCCCCTCTCCGCCCGAGAGTGTGTGAACAAAGCGAGTTCCGTTGCCCTCCTATCCTTTGTGACTTAATGCGCAAATCCTGAACGTCAACGCATAGCTGTAGTCTATCTAAGCTTATCGAGGAGAAAATGAGAGACATTGCAAACAAAACTAGTAACTACCTTTGCGTCAGTTCCTTCAGGTGGTCGGTTTCATGTGTCATGCACTGTTTTGTCTACGTGGCAGCTTGCAAGTCGCACTCGTTAGGCGCCGCAAAAAGCGTTTTACTGCTATGACACCCATAGTGGCAGTAATGAGTGCATAATAACGTAATTTTTCGTAAGTGACCTATCTCGTCTCCGAAGGAAACGTGCGCACGCACGCACACACGCACGCACACACGCACGCACACACGCACAACATACACCACACAGCACACACATACACACACACACACACACACACACACAACACACACAAACACACACACACACACACACACACACACACACACACACACACACACACACACACATATATATTATATATAATATATATATAATATATATATATATATATATATATATATATATATATATATATATATACAGACACCCTCTCCTCTTCTCTCTCTCTCTCTCCTCTCTTCTCTTCTCTCTCTTTCTTCTCTCTCCCTCC